GGTTTTTTGGTGTCAGAATGTATGTTTGTAGCGGTATAGGCACGTACCGAATATCGCCGAAAACAAACATAATCGATTTGGATGTGAATTGAATTTATAAACGACTCACTCTATAGATAGTTTCCGTATTTATATGTTCAATTGATTTTTTTTTCTTGGAAAACAATTGACTAGTTTGCAACAATACAGTTTTTGATTTGGTGTTAAGAACCCCGGAAACCAATGATTGCTTGATGCGAGTGTACATATATTGAAAGAGGCTAGCGAACACATAGTCGTTGATACGCATGAAATATTGGTTAAGCAAAAGTAAATCTTTTCCATTTAGTTGGATGCGTCACGGCAGCACAGCATCGCGTTACTACATAAATTAAAACAGATGGATGATGGTATTTTCGTGGGTTGAAGTTGTTTTTGTTTCTTTTTTTTTGGTTACCGATGCTGTATTCAGTTCAAAGTGAATTGGCACCTCATGGACTTTTCTTTTGGCGCTCTTTCTCCGTGCCCATGCATTTATTCCAACACATGAGTACAATCCCAAGAAGTGATCTTTATAAAAAAAAAACTTACATGGGATGCACACTAAATATGCACTAGATATGTGTGTTGCTGTTGGTTGTCTTACAGGCGAGATATGCGCCGTAAGCCCAAAACTGTTCCTAAAAGAGGAAAGCACACAACAGAGAACAAACATCGAGCTCTCTCTCTCTCTCTCTCTCTCTCTCTCTCTCTCTATCTATCTGTTACCGCTTTCTTTCACTTCTCAAAATAAATGTACACACCGAGGCGATGGACGTTCTTTTTCTTTCGTCGCATTAAATTATTGCGGTTCGTTGTGGAAGTGGTAAGAGAGTCCAATGAATTACAAGTGAACCGATATGTGTTCGTGTGCACATGTACATGTGCATTGTATACGTACATGAAATGAGCTAAACACTCTCGGTTCGCGGTATTTTCTCCTTTGTTCCAATATATCGAATGAAGAAAGATAGCACCGCAGCAATACATCTGAAAATTTATGAACAGACGATATACAGTTAGAATCTTGTTCGCAGTCACAGGCAGCGAGGAACATGGAACAAGATATCAACATTGGGTGTTGAAGGCTATTCTTTCTTCAGAAACAGCGGCGGCGGCGACGGTGTTGCCATTGTGAGTGCTATCGATCGACATGTTTAATTTCAAAATGTGTATTCGGCTCTCCGTTTTCTCGATATCTAGTACAGTATAGGGGAGCATAGAGCAAAGCCACACCACACTTTTTTCGATACGTAAATTTTGGTTTTGAATGAAGGCAATATCTTTCATTTTATATTTGAAATGGAAATTTGCAATATTTGACCAAAATAATTTCGGCCTGATAAATGGAAAAAGTCTTAAATCTCATATCCACGGAGAAGTGTATTGGGCTGGAGAAAAACACTGGCAAGCGTCAAGTGTCCAACATTCTAATGCGCAATTATGAAAAAAAATCAGATTTGGCATATGACGTGCCCAGAGCGAGATATGTCGAGTTTGCACTTTGCCCCGTTTACCCGATATGACGGTGTTTCATTACAATTGCAACGTTTCCACATTCGCAAACACGCACGACCACTCTACTCTGTTGCGATCTTTTGAATAAGAATATACACGGGATGGCGTATACTGTACATCGTACACATACACGTATACGTTAAGCTGCAGTTGCCTGTTGCGTCTCTGTTGGGCGAAAAAAAATTATACCAACTGCTAAATTTGACCAACATGCGTTTTTCTTCCCCACTTTGTGTTCTTTTGGGCTCGTATTTCCATCATTTTGCTTTTGTTCTCAACATTTTTTTTTCAGCCGAATTTTAGTTAATCTACAAAGCATATTCGTAAACTATAGCAAACAGTCCTTAAATGTCTACAGACTTCTTTGTTTGGCATTCATTTGGCTCGTCAACGTTTGCGCACTTGCCCCATTTCATGTCTGGCAAATATTTGCATGCATATGAACAGTTCATGTGGCAATCTAACCGCCGCTCGGAAATAGAGCACATGTTTGTGGAGTAATTGAGTTGGGATCGTTAAATATATGCAATTTACATACGGCAAAAAAGAGAAAAAATGACCGTATTTCCTTACAGCACAAAAAAAAGTTCGTAATTTGGCTATCGTAATTGTTTTCGGGTGGTTTTAAAGAAACCAAATGACTTCGAATATAATTGAGTGTGTGTGTTTCATTCTGGATTCGAGCGGGTTTCATTCCATGCGAGCTCAAAATGATGTACTACTAGTCTTGCAGGTGTTTCAATTGGTTGTAAATATCATTTGCAAACCGATCGTCATTTTCTTCAAATTCTTCTTCTTCGAATTGAGTTTTCGAAAAAAAAATTCGATGTTGGCTTCGCAAACACATTATTCACAATATGAAATTGTTCAAGATCAGCATAAAATTTCAAACTCAAACATCATTCGTTAATCGCGTCCGATTGCAAATGCAGTAGCAGCAATTAAATGAAATTGAAATAAATGTGTGGCAACCGATTTCTCATTATAAAGATACATAAAAAAAGCGTGGAGAACAATTGCCGATGTCACCGTAAATATACATAGAACAGTATATTGCGATGCCATCAATCAGTATTTAAGTATGCTTGTCGTTTTTTTGCCTCATTTATTCTATCTCTCGTCTTTGTTTATTTCGATTCAATACGTAAAATCCACCTCTAATATCAACAATATCAAATTGCTGCTGTCAAATGTATTAAGTCCCTATATCACGTTTTTGTGATCACTTTTTTTGCCTATGAATGTAACAAAATTCAAATGAACCCAATTCCAATATAAATATATGCACACCACATTTTTTTTCTCTCTCTCTTTTGTCAATGTTGATTTCCATTTGAACGTAAATATTAGTGAATTTGTAGGAATAGTAGGAAGCGCCCCATTTG